GTCGATTTTGAGCATAGTGACTTGAGGTGTTTCATGTGGACCAGTCTTTGGATAGGGTCGCGTATTGCAGCGAAGTTATGGGGAGGTATAACCTTTCGAGTTATATTCGTGTGTTCTATTTCTATGATGTATGACGGGTTCCCAGCATTGTGTTGTGGTGGTACTGGTGAGCTTGCAGTACAACTCTCTCATTTGATTCATTTTTCATGATTTGAGTACGTTCGGATTGTTGCTTATTGGTGTACGAATTGCACGAGTTGTGGCTTTAGATGGTATTAATGTGTCATGTCACTAGAGTAGTTGTGATTGGATTAGATGAGATCGTTGGGATCTAGAATGAATACAAACGGATTTGGTTTCAGCGTGTTGGAAGGATAATATCGATGTTCAGTTCAAAAATTTGCTATGGTCCTTGCCAAGGGAGAAGTGGTTTCATGAATGGTTGATCTGAGGAATGGTTATGGCTTTCTACGTGTTTATCTATCATTGGCAGCATACAAAAGTGTTGGAATGAGGCTTGTTTGATAAGAGATTTATTATTGGTATTCGGTTGTTTCGAGCAACTGCTGTGATTAGAACTTATCACTACGAGTGTTTGAGTTATGTGATATATCACGCAATTGCATCTGAGGTTGCAGGTATGGTTTGTTACAGCTTGTTCGGGCTTATTCAGAGTATAGATGTGAGATTCTGATCTTATAGATGATTTTAGAAGTGGAAATGTGGTTCTAAGGTTTATGGGCTAGGTTGGATTGTGAAATTTTAGTTACATGGTGTTGTCAGACCTATATGAGATAGGGTGACGTGGGATCACACCCGGGTATGTGCATGGTAAGGTTACACAGCGATTTGATGGTCTTCGGAACAACTGTGGGCACGTCGAGGACGAACGTATGTTTAAGTAGGGGAGGATGTAACGACCCGACCGGTCGTTTTGAGATTTTGCACTTCGCTCGCCAGTTCTCGGGCATGATTATCCCCGTGTGATGTATTATAAATTATGTAAATCACCGGTTTTGGTTTTCAGGGTTGTCAGAATGAATTTGGAAGAACAATTCTCAATTGAAGCTTAAAATTTGAAAGGTTTGACCAAGTTTAGACTTGTTAATATATAATCTCGGATTAGAATTTTTATGATTTGGTTAGCTCCGTTAGGTGATTTGGGACTTAGGAGCGTGATCGGAATGTATTTTGGAGGTCCGTGGAAGGTTTAGGCTTGAATTAACGAAATTGGAATTTTGACGTTTTCCGGTTGATAGGTGAGATTTTGATATAGGTGTCGGAAAGGAATTTCGGAAGTTGGAGTAGGTCCATTGTGTCATTTATGACGAGTGTGCAAAATTTCAGGTCATTCGGTCGAGGTTTGATAGACTTTTTGATCGAAAGCAGAATTTGGAAGTTTTTGGAATTCTTAGGCTTGAATCTGATGTAATTTTGGTGTTTTGATGTTGTCTTGAGCATTCTGAAGGTTGGAACAAGTTTGAATGATGTTATGGGATATGTTGGCATGATTGGTTGAGGTCCCGAGGGCCTCAGGTGAGTTTCAGGTGGTTGAACGGATCATTTCATGTTGTAAGAAGTTGCAGAAAAACTATTGTTGGTGTTACAGGTTTTTGACCTTCACATTCGCGATGGATGTCCTGTGTTCGCTAAGGGTTAGGATGTGAGGCAGTGGAGTTGGCCTTCGTGTTCGCGAAGATGGTCCCGTATTTGCGAAGGTCTGAGGTCAGTGGTCATCGCGTTCGGGAGGGTTTTGCCGTGTTCGCGAGGGGTTTGCTGTGTTCGCGTAGAGGAAGTGGAATAGTTGGGAACCCAAGGCATTTGTTCTACGCATTCGCATAGTAGAGGTCGCGTTCGCGAAGAGGTGGGTCAGTTGTACATCGTGTTCGCGAGAGGATCCTCGCGTTCGCGTAGAAGGAATTTTGGTCAGTGAAGCCTTGTGCTTCGCGAATGCGAGGGTGCTGCCGCGTTCGCAATGAAGAAAATAATTGGGTAGTATGTTTAAGTTCAAAATCGAGGGTTTAAGTCCAATATCATAAAAACCATTATAGAACTCGGGAGAAGGTGAAATTTGAGGAGATTTTGAGTGGAGCAATTGAGGTAAGTATTCTTCACTTATATTTGGTTTAATCCCATGATTTAGTCTTGAATTTCATCATTTAATTTGAGAAATTAGAGTGGAAATTGGAGAAAAATGGAGGAAAAGTTTGAGAATTTCTTTTGGGGATTTGAGGGGTCATTTGAGGTTCGATTTTGATATTCTTTGTATGTACGAACTCGTGAGAGTGTAAGAATTCTATTTATTGATGTGATCTTTATAGGATTTTGAGACGTGGGCCCGAGGGTCGGGTTTGGCCAATTTCAGAAATTTTAATGTAAATTGGTTATTTTCGAGTGGGCTTTGTTCCCTTAGTGTATTTTGATGGTACGAATCTGTTTTTGATTAGATTTGGAGCGTTCGGAGGCCGAGTCGAGAGGCAAAGGTATCGCGGTCTAGAGTTTGGACCGGATTGAGGTAAGTAATGATTGTAAATGTTTGTCTTGAGGGTATGAAACCTCGGATTTTACATCGTTGTGCTACTTTGAGGTAACACACACGCTAGATGATGAGCGTGTGGTCATGCATCGTTGGGGATTGTGACTTAGTCAGCCCCGTATGACTGTTAAACCACGTATTTGATTGAAAACTGTTTGATATCATTGTGTTTTGGATAGTGTTATCATGTTTTGGGTTGAATGCCATATTTGAGCCTCGTACCAACTGTTTTGGACCCTTAGGGGATTTTTACTACTATTCCTCACTATTTTGACTTCATATTTGTACTTAGTCATGCTGTATTCTACTGTTTTCATAACTCAACCATATTTACTCTGTTTTGATATTTTAAATGATATTGTGGGCTGAGCATCATGTTTTACTATTGCCCGAGTGGCATGAGAGATTTCTGACTGAGTGAGACCGAGGGCCTGTGTTGTGAGGATATTATGGGATCGGGCTGCGCGGTGCAGTAGTGTGGTACTGATTTATGATTATAAGGCCGAGGGCCTGATTTGTTACGCCACGAGGTGGCTTGATATGAGGCCGAGAGCCTATTTGATTATGCCACGGGATGACTTGTTATTGCGCTTGGGCCGTAAGGGGCCCCTCCCGGAGTCTGTACACCCCGAGTAAGCGCGGGTACCCAGTGTGAGTGATATGATGTAGCCCGAGGGGTTGTTATTATTTCATGTTGTTGCCCGACGAGCTGTTCTTGATCCATATTTGCCCGAGGGGTAGTTCTTGATTCATGTTATGACCGAGGGGCTGATTACGAGTGATTGTGAGGTAGCCTGAGGGGTTGGTTCTGTTCATATTATGCCCGAAGGACGATTTATGGTACATGTTTTGCCCGAGGGGCTGTTTACGTTTTCTATCATTCATACTCACTGTTTTATCACTCGTTTGAAACCATTGAAAGTTGTTTTAAAAAGATTTTTACTGAAACTGAGCTTGAGTTACCAGGTAAATGATTTGTGTACTGCTTTGGAAATAATCTACATTTGTTATAGTGTTATGACGTGGTTTATGTGTTTTCTTACTGCTCAGCTTTCATTTACTTTTATTACTTACTGAGTTGGCGTACTCACATTATTCCCTGCATCTTGTGTGCAGATTTAGGCATTTCTCAACCTGGTAACAGGTGTTGATTGCTCAGTGGCAGTGTCATCGGAGTTAGCGAGGTAGCTGCATGACGTTCGCAGCACTGCTTTTCTTCCTCTTGTCTTCCTTAGACTGTATTTAGTATATTTTTAGACTCTTTGTTGTATTCAGACCTTAGTAGATGCTCGTGACTTGTGACACCCTGATGTCGGGCTTGTGTATTTATTCCGCACTGTTAATTTAGACTTACATTATGAGATATCTGATCAATTAAAGGCATAAAAATGATTGTTATTGATTAAATGGTTAATTCAGGAGTTGTGTCGGCTGAGCGAGTTTCACGATAGACGCCATCACGACCGGGTCGGTTTTAGGATCGTGACAACTTGCCTGAAGGGGTTGGCATCCAATATGGCCTATCCCAGTATTCCTCATTGCGGTCATAATGCACATTGGATCTAATATGTTTAGCAATTTCTTCATTGAAAGTTTGATCTAGCAACTCATCCCATTCTTCCCCAGGAGAATTTTCTTAGTAGCACATGATAGTTACTTTTTTAGTTGTCTCACAATAACTTTTCGTTGATGTACACTTTCAAGGTTAACCAAATTTAATAATTAAATATAAAATCAATATGACACCTAAATAATGATATGTTCTACAATATTTAATTTTCACTTATCGAAATACCACTTCAAATTTGAAAAAGATATAAGAATTTAATAGATCTTGACATATGAATATGAAAAAACAAAGAGATTAACACATTTCAATAACATTAGATTAGAAAGTGATCATACAACACATTATTTAAAGTTAATTAAAATGGAACATTTCATATTCTATTAAATATTACATCGCATAAGAGAATCCCAAATATTTCTAGACATTTTTTAATTTTTTTTATATAAAGTCTTATAAGTATATATAAAAATTATATATTTATATGTCAGTTTGATTCGGATTTTTTACTCAATACCAAACTAAATCAAACCAAACCTCATCCGTTTTTTATTCGATTTAGTGCGGTTTTCCAGTTCGGTTTGTACGCACGCCCCTAGTTGTATAAATGGCCAATTCTAAAATTCAAAGCAGAAAAAAGATTCAGACACTAAATTTGAGTTTATAGAGGATCATAGAAAGGTAGAAGAGATTAAAAATTAAAAAATCATAAAAAGAAATAAAAATAGTACGGTATAGCCAGTTTTCGGACTGGTCATTCAAAAATAGCCAGCATTTACCAAGTCAATGAAAAATAACTACTATTTTGCTGCAGCAGAGATCGGCCCAGCATAATATACTGGAGTTCGGTGCACCTGTGTATGAACTTCAGCATATTGTGCTTGAAAAGAGATCAAATGGTCACCATTATCTGCATCATTACTATTTTTCTAAATAATCTATGAGGAATACAAATTGTTCCTATGAATCATAATTGCCAGATCTTCCATAATAGAAAATGACAACAAATATGTGACAAAGCAAAGCACTGTCAAGTGTAAACTTGATAAACCTCAACACTAAAATAATCACCAATTATGTGAGCAAGATGACAACCAAATGCTGAATATGCAATCTAGTGCATAAGCACAGAGAACTTGGGTTTTGTTATCTTTTGTCTTGTTGGGTTTAGTTTGGGCTTCATATTTGGATTACATAGATAGAATCTACTTGGTGGATAGTGAATTTACAAGCCCACAAATAAATAATATCTCAAGATATTGAAAACTATAAAATAATTTAGAAAATACTTATAAATTAGATTTTAATGATTATTTTTTGTGTAAATTTTTTAAAATCTATTTATATATAATATCGGTTTGGTTTAGATTCGGTTTGACTTATTTTTTGTTAATATCAAACCAAACCAAGAGTGATCGGTTTTTTATTTTCCAACACCAAACCAACCAAACCAAACCATGAGTCGAATTTTTTCTTCGGTTTAACTTGGTTCGTCGGTTCGGTTTGACTTGATGGTTTGGCTTGTACACTAGTAGGATATCACTAATACCTTTTCACACTTTTGCCAAAAATGCAACCTAAACTTCTCAACATCTAACGTGGTCAATAATAAAGTTTCAACTCAACCGTTCATCGTTCATGGAGTTGATATCTTATTGGCAAGACTGTTTACTAAAGCCAAAGCGTTGCTAGTCACCTCCTTCACCTTCCCTACACGATCACAGACATTCAATTCAATGGCACGTCATCAGTAACATCCTCAAATCCATCGGTGCAAGTGTCCTCATTAGTTAACGCTGCACTCATCCATGTCTGAACGTTACTCATCTGAAACCTCAACGACTCGCTGGAGCCACCGAGCCTACGCATCTGACTCAATGAATCACGTATTTGGCCAACAGTGTCCCCGAAAATCGAGAAGCAATCATGGAGAGCAGCTACAACTTGTGGCTGCGCTCCATAGTCAGCTTCGCGGGATATGTTGGAAAAGAAAGCTGCCATGCGCTTGGCTTTGGCTAGGGTTACTCCGACGGCTACACGAGCTAGTCGAGCTGGATCTTGTTGTACTGCGGTGGCATAGTGATTAAGTGAATGGTAGCAGGTAGCAGGATACATGGTGGTTTTACAACTCGACCGGATATATTCTGTGTCAGCAGAGACAAATCCAGGATTTAGAGGTTGGGGAGCGGCAGCATCAGGAGCGATGGCAAATGATGAAAGTGTGGTAGGGTCAAGGAGAGCGAAAGAGGGGACAAGGCGGAGGTGGAGGAGAACGGCGGCGAAAAGGATGCAGAAGAGGGAAAGAGGACGTGAAGTTTTCATGGTTTATTGTGTTTAGCTCTTTTTTAAACATGCAGTAATTAAAGCATTATGAAGAGTCCAGCTTTGATCTCCTTTTTTGAGGCTGTCCTGTTTTTGGGCGAGCTGATATAGGCAATTGGTCTTGAGGGAAAATGACATTTCTATCCTAAGAACCATGTATAACGTGTATATTAAAATTATTCTGGAAATTAATTAATGACTGAAAATGGAAGCACTTAATTCCGACTTATTATAATTAGATGAAGGAGTCCACTCAAGTCTTGAGAGCTGTTATCTCTAATCCGCTTCAAAATATGCTTTATTAAACAAGTAATATAAGAGCTCTGCTATTATTAGTGGCTCTAATTGTTTTTTTAATTAATGCTTCAGTTTTGGTAAATAACGAACACGTGGAGTTAGTTACAATAAGATCTCATTGTTTTCCTTTTTCTGTTAGCACAACGAGTAAGTATATTGAAATGCTCTTGCGCATGGTAAATAATAAATTCGCGAATTCTTTTATATACTACTACTAAATATTAGTATACTTTTTCGTAATATTAAAAATTCACTTACTTGTGTTTTATTTAAATCCAACTGTTTGCCATCAATTCTTAACTTTAAGGACGTACGGCGGACTCTTAAGAAATAAATATATCATCTTTTCCTATTTTTAGTTTTTTTTTTTCTCAGGAATGGGTGGTTAGATGTTTGGTCGGAATGCAATGAGCTTTTTGTCGAAATACAATCATAGAGGAATAGTTTATTTCGTCAAATATATATATGGCCAAATTAATTAAAAAAGAAGAAGAAATACAATGAAATGCTATAGCCGCCAGTTTAGCATGCCGAGTGATGCAATCCAACCTCTCTCCTTTTATATTAAAAAATTTATCACTTCGAAGCGTGCAATTTAATTTGTTGGTGTAACTTTAAATTGGGTCCCTCATAAACCCATGCTCGCTTGCTTTTCAATATGTATCACGACCCGGATTTTCCAGTATCGGGAGTTGTGATGGTGCCTACTCATGAAAGTTAGACAAGCCGACTATTATAAAATCATTATCCTTTTCGTTAAACATGTTCGACAATTTAAAATAATAAGTGATTAAACAACGAAATAAATTAAATAACCGGAAATGCGGAAGACGAAACTTAATATTTCAACCAAACACTGCTACATAATTTGAAGTACAATGCTACCCAGAATTTGGTGTAACAAGTCACGGACTGTCTAAGAATACTACAAATAAGGTCTGAATGAAATATATAAGTCTGTTTCTAAATAAGTAAAAACAGAAGAGAAAAGATAGGAGGAGACGCTAAGGCCCGCTGACGCCTGCAGGACTACCTCGGGTCGCCTGAATAGCCTGAAGACATCACCCTCACTGCGGTCCAAATGCTCCGGTATCAGTATCTGCACACAGTGCAGAGTGTAGTATC